GAGCTGGGCTGTCACCGCTTGGCCGCCGGTGGGGGGTTTGGGAGGCCGCATCGCACACAAACACGCACACGCTCCCTCAACTTCCACGAACGCACACATACGCAGACTCGTTTCCACACGGACATAGACACACGCACAGAAACCCACACACTACCTCAACTCACTCGACTTAACACTTCTCACTACACACTTACCGGATAACTCGCACTCTGATTTCCTACGTGATGAAAAATGCTTTCGGGCCACTCGTCGTCTAGTTTTTTACTTTCACCCCGTCCAGGTCGCCCGCGCGCAACGCCGTGCCCCGTGCCTTCCCACGCCTTCCACGCTGCAGGTGGTGCCCCCCTCGAAGCGCAGTCTCTTGAACGAAGCGCTGGGCGACCGCTCCGACGACGCGCCGGCCACGTCGCGGTCGTTGCGGTCGCTGCGGTCCGCTGGAGCCTCGGCGTCATGGGCTTTTCTGGGTTTGTGGGACTTGGACTTGGAGGACTTGGAGGATGTTCGGGTTCAGCGGTTTTGAAAGCAACATGTACTTTCAATTGCTTCTCTCAAGATGACATTATATGTACTGTAATTCTTGGACCTTTGCTATTTTTTAATTAAGGGATTGACTGAGAGATAGATAGGTCAAGCAGAGTTCTGAATCATTTCTTCCTCTGAAAGGCGATCCTTTCTTTGGTTCAGACGTAAAACCATGAAACCAGGTTTGTGTTATAGCTTTGTTGGCAGAGGTTCCAGCTAAGTGTCATCATCCTTTGAAATTGGGCCGACCCCAAAAATGCAGAAAACGAAGTCGAGCGGATGGACCAACACCTACTCATTCTTTCAAGGAATGGAGGGTCGTCAGTTGTATACAAAAGATACACCATACACAGAAACCACTCCAGTGTTTGTACATAACTCTTGGGTCATTCGTTGATTTGTTCAGCTCTTGGCGTCCCGACCCCCCGGCCTGCTTCGGCCGTGCCGAGGATCGGCTGAGTTGCTGGAGAAGGTGGTGGAGTCGAGGGGGACCTTGGGAAGTGCCTTTCACTCTCTTCTCCACCGCGATCCCATGAGAATGCTCAAGGACGCCAGTGATGCTTTGTTTCTTTTTCGACCGGACCGAAAGCGAACCGGACTTCGGGCTTTGACCGGCCCGCAGGGAGCAGGAAGAAGGGCAAATTATCGGAGTGTTCAAGAAAGGAAGACCATGACATATAATCAATAAAACCTCCATCCTGCTTTGCAAAGAGAAACGACGGCAGCTGTGTCCTTTCTGGAAGGCCATTAAGTTGAACGAGCCAGTGTAACAAATCCGTGAGCAGAAAAACGGTTGCGCCTCAATCTTGATACAGCCATCCCAAGTGTTGATATACCTCAGAAAGACTCTTGGTTTATATCGCCTGGGCCATCATCTAAACCAGGAGTTGTTTCTTTATTTCATTTTTCGCGGCCCAAGCCCAAATCCTGATAATATGGAACAAAGGATGAACATGTTTAGACATACCATTTTCTTCATGAGCAGGGTACCTTTTGATAGTTCAACCACTTGACTGGTTCATCTGACTAGTGGTGCGACATACTGATTTCGCACCTAGATGGGATAAATTCCGAGAGGTAGTTAGCTGGATTCTATCATCCGCGGGTTCAGATGGGGGTTCGTGCTATCCACTCTTTCCAGTGGATCAGTTCTCACCTGGCAAATCACCGCCCCATGGCCTCGCTGTGTAGCCGTGGTTTTTTCCGCCTCCTTCGACTGGGCTCTAGGAGGCGCTGGCGGCGCGCCTGGAAGGCAGCGGAGGGCTCTTTGCGCAGCAAGAGGAGACGGGACAACTCGAGAAGGACATCAACCTGCGAGAGCATCAGCTGGACAACCCTGAGATGGTGGATATGCGGCATGTCTGCAAGGCATGTTCTGCAACGGCAATCTTTCTTGTTGGGTTTGCCCAATTTTTTGGCAAGGCACGGGTGGCTGTCAATTCCACCTTGAACAAAATTGAACGCATTGTAACTCTGTTTGTGGTAGAAACTCCTCTAACTTCCAGTGGAGGAAAGGCGTGGGGCAAATATTTGCCGGTTATTTTCAATTATATAAGGTTACCGCATGCTACCATAAGGAAGCTTGACTTTTGCAAACTGTTGTCCTTCTGAAGTATGTTGTGCACTCCTGGCGGAAAGCAGATCCGCATCTCGCTTGGAACGGCGGACCGAAGGCTTGAGACCCAGGCTGACCACATTCTGAAAGACCACTCAACAAAAGAGAAACCAATTGAGGTGGTTTCGATCCGATTCTCTTAGGTTATTTCTATTTCAGACTCGATGTCGGTGGTCTTTCTTATGATCTTTGGTGGCTCGGGACAAAAAATCCAATCCACACCACCACGGCCCTCGAGGCTCCTGCAGCGCTGGTTCGCCCAGCGTAGCTTCTGCGTGAAGAACGTGGGGGATCGACGGCAGTTGGCGGAGACCTTCTGGAAGGTTCAACGGAATTCCAAGCGGGCGCAAGGCCGCCGTCCCTTGGATCGGATCGGACGACCCGAGAGCTCGGGCTCCAAGTCGGCTCCATTCCTCAGAACATGGTACGGCTGGAGCCTGGCACGGCCCACAACACCCAGCTCCAACTCGGTACTTGGGGCGGAGTTGGGTGAGTTGTTGGGTGCTTTTTGGGGTTCAAAAGTCACGCGGTTCCGGTGACGGTTCTGGGTCCTTCCTTCCACCGCTCGACAGAGTCAAACCGGTTCCGGATGTGGTAGGATGCTGTGTACGAACACGGCCTGCCGTTCTGCCGTCCTTTTTGTTTGACGAACTGTTGTTCCGGGAACATCTTCCTGCAGACCACATTCCCATGTCTGCGGCTTTGCGTGCAGACATGCAAAGCAGATGCTTGCTTCAGGCCTCCTGGGAGACTCGTAGAGTCCTCCATGCCAGTTTCCTTTTTTTTGTATCGGTGTATGTTAGGAATTGTACATACTAACACCTACTGCTCCCCCAAAATGACCTGGGATTCCATGTACCTCGTATATGACATGGTTTTTGGCGTCATTCGGATCATTCCTCATGTGATTCCCCCCAGATTTTGGGCTTCACGGCACGATCCACTGAGCACCGACCGCCTTTCTTAGCAGACAGGTCTTCAGATTCGCTCATTCGCTCAAGGCTGAAAGATCCAATTTGTGGATTTGGTGGTGAAAAAACCCAAAAGCGCACCGCGCGCGCCGTCGAACGCATCGACCAACTCTTTTTTTGTGCGGCGCTGAGGGAATTTCGTGTCGACTAGTGACATCCGGCGTTCGTCTTGGTGCTTCAAGCTGTCCATGAGCTCTTTCTGGCTGTTCGCTAGTGCTGTGAACGCCGCAGCAACATCTGCTGGAAGTGTTCCTGCCGCCGCTGCTTGTTGTGTTTGTGCTGCTCTCAGTGCCTTCAACTTGGGTCGGCGAAGCTGCACCTCGGCGACAGCTCCGTCGGAGCGTGAGGCTATGTGCCCAAGAAGTCCATCCGTGGGAAGCTGACCAGCACGGCCAGCCCGTTGCGCTCGTCCTCCTCGCTCTTCGTGGATAAGATGGAGACGGGCGCGGTGGAGGCGGATCTCACCACGGAGACTTGGAGACGAGTCGGGGGCAGAGGATGGAGTGGGAAAAGAGAGTGGGGGGAAGTGGGGGGGAACCTTCAACAGACTATCTGAAATGGAGTTCTGGTGCCTGAAGAGAGGTTCCATGCACCGTGCCGATCGCGAGGAACGTGGGGTTCTGCTGGAGATCAAGCGCGCCATGATCAAGCTGAAGCGGAAGTGTCGAGTGCTGGAGGGGCAATGGGCGCCTCGGCGCGAAGAGCACCGGTCACTTCAGACCAAGAGAGCTATGAGATTTGGGGATGGGTCTAGCTGGAGAATTTTGACAGAGTTGCACTGAAAGAAAGACAACGACACATCCGAATGAACATGGAAGTGGCAAGCCTGGAAAGTAGTCTGTTAAGGAGTCATGTTCCACTCACGTGCGTTCCTTTGTCGGAGTCTTGTTTTTCCATTTGTTCTTCGCAGAACCCCGTTCCACAGACATCGGTTTCTTTCTCACCAATCCATACGGGCTCTCCATGGCACGGGTCGGACCCGACACCGAAACGCACGGGGCCGGACGATTCAGTGTCCGTGTTGCTTCGGGCCCGGATTCTTAGATGGTATTTCCTCGTGGGATTCTCCCGAGAACTCTTGGCTTCCGCACCACTGGAAGCGACGATGCTCGGTGCTCAGGTAGAGGTGCCCCGAATGACCCTGCCACGGCTGCAGAAGCGGTGCCGGGTGCTGCAGCTCAAGGTGGATGAGACCTTCAGGCAAACGGAGATTATCAGGACTGAACTCAGAAGTTTCATCATGGCACTGCTTCCATGAATCTTCGGGCGAAAAGAGAAGCCAGATGGTGAGGATGAAGTGACACTCCACTCTGACTGTGTCTCGCCTTCCTTGAAAGGTTTTGAAAGGGCCTGAAAAGGAACATTCATCATTCATCTATGCCTTGCTATCCCAAAAACTAGCATGGATCCTGCAACAGATCCTTGGAAGATGATTCAACTAGTATGGAAGATCACACCAAGCTGTTTGGAGAGTCCAATGGCCTGTGAGGTTTGATCTGAGCGCCCCCTCCAGGAAAATGAGTCCCAACACCTAAACAGCCTTGGATTTCGGTGGATTTCTTCGATCCAGAAGGCTTTGGATGCATTGAAAATAGATGGGATCTTCCATCAAGTCTATCACACCATTGTTTCACGCCCTGGAGGAAGAAGCTCTTAGAGGCCGACGAGCGGTGGACGCGGATGCGCGAGGGCTCCGAGCCCACGCTGCTGGACCTGGAATTGGAAGCTTGGGACATTCGTCACCTGGAAGCGCAAGTCGCGCGACTCGTCGCCTGCAAAGCGCCACCGAGTTCGCGCTTCTGCCGCCTCTCCGGATCAGTGGCGATGTGTGAAGCGTCGCAGAGTCTACCCCGAAGTGCCTCAAATTGGGAGTGTGAAGACTGAATTTTTCCGGTCTCGTGCCACGGTTAAGGAGCTCAAAGCTATCAACTGTATTTTGGCATTCCTCGAGCGACTCCGATGTGTTTTGGTTCTGAAGATCTTTCCGAATTCCTTTGGACGACAGGTTTCTTGGGCTTCGATGACCGGTAACCCCCCTGCCGAAGCCCAACTTGAAGCGCACCAACGTGAACCGCAGCGGCTGACAGAGACCTTGTCAGAATCATGCTGAATCCACTTTGCACCCACGAGCGAACTGACCAGACCCGAACATGTCGAGGATGGGCTGCAGTTTGCCTGCAAACCACTGAAACGCGTCGAACCAAAAACAAAAACCTGGTCTTGATCCGTGCACAAACCCCTCAAAATGGTCCAACATGTTCAATGATCGTCTTCACTTCAGAATCTCATTCCCCACCCTTTCAGTCGTGCGGCCGAGCTGCGTGACGCTGTGGCCCGCCCCAACCACCGAGGTGTGGAGCTGGCGAAGAGCGTCATCCGATGGGTGCGGAAGGATCGCAAAGAGGCTCAGGCGCGACCGGAGCCGCACGACCTGCCGGGCATGGACGGACAGACCTCGCGATGAGGTGGAATGGAAAGCACAAATGGCCAAGTACCACCAGGACCGGCAGGGCTTTGCTCTATGGATTCTGGAACAGGAGTCCTACTGCCAGAGTCGTGAAAGAAGCGACCCAATGAATCAACGAAGACCTATGGTTCTTGTTGTACTGGGTGTCTATTCTAAACCCACTTTGCACCCCAGTTGTTGCTGCAGTAGTAGTAGTAGTAGTAGTAGTAGTAGGTGGTTGTTGTTGTTGTTGTTGTTGTTGTTTATTTTTTTCCACCTGGGCAGAACTACCTGGCTTCCGCTGGTTGTATACCACCTACTGAAGCCTACAAGCTTTTCTCAAGCAGTTTCCATAGTGCTTCATCGACTCTTCCGTGTGTTTCTTTGCAACATCTTGCGGGTGAACAGGATGGTTTCACCATGTTCTTTTCGCAGGGTACCTCCTAATGACGAAAAAGAGACTCTAATTGCGAAGAAGAGATTCTAATTGCGAAACAAAGCCTTCTAATTGCGAAACAAAACCTCCTAATTGCGAAACAAAACCTCCTAATTGCGAAACAACAGTTCCTAATTGCGAAACAGCACCCTGAATCTCAATGTCTTTCAGTTGCAGTTGATTCAATAGGATGATGATGAAAGAACAATGCGAGACCAATGTGCAGTCATGTTCCATGGCCTTGGAAGCAGTGAGCAGGCTCAATGAGTTTGAGGCCGCGCAAATACTTGAACACATTAATAGTGCAGCGGTAACAAGGGCGCAGGACCAACGTGCTGCTCAGCCAAACCAACGTACTGCTCAGCCAAGCCAACGTACTGCTCAGCCAAACCAACGTACTGCTCAGCCAAACCAACGTACTGCCCAGCAAACCAACGTATTGCTCAGCCAACGTACTGCTCAGCCAAGCCAAACCAACGTACTGCTCAGCAAACCAACATTGGGACACGCAGCTAGTTAGTTGAGTGTTTCGAGCCACGGCGGCCAGCTGAGTGTTTCGAGCCACGGCGGCCAGCTGTCACCGGGATGAAGGCGGCCAGCTGAGTGTTTCGAGCCACTGGAGCAGCATTCGTCACCTTCCCTGCCTCCCCGTGTTTTACCATCCCAGAAGATCAAAAAAAGCAATGCTGAAGCAAAGCACTGCTTCTGAAAGCGAGATGGAGAATACCATTGGCTTCATGGTGTGTGTCGGCCGGGCCCACACGGACTTCCTGAGCGACGTCCAGATGATTCGGAACATTTGGAGAACATACAGGCGGATTGCCGTCCTTTTTGCGCGAGTGTTGAAAATTGGACGAAATAGTTGGTTCCAAAGACCAGTCTAAATGTCTTTTGCAACACGCAAAGGTGTTGGTGAAATAGTTCCAAAGACTGGCCTCCCCTGGTTTTTTTCCATGCAAAAAACGCTTTCAGACGGGTCTTTGGAACTTTTCTTCATCCGTTGCACAGCAAGATTTGTGTTGGTGAAAAAGTTCCAAAGACTTGCCTCTCCTGGCCTTTTTCCATGCAAAAAACACATTCAGACGGGTCTTTGGAACTTTCTTGAAAGTGTTCAACCCGCTGTTCCAACAGAGGTTCCAACAGACCAAGGTCCGGTCCACTAAGCGGTATACATTCCCGTGTCCGACGCAGCCCTGCTCGGGCTGAATACCTGCCGCAGGTGGTGCCCGAGCCGAATATCCGTCCGGAGAGGCTCCGTCGGTCGCCGTGGATCGGTGGGTCGGTGAATGGTGCCCGGCCTGGGGTGCCAGTTTAGAGTGATCTTTGCAAGTCGGGGTCTTCGAGGGTCCAACAGACCAAAAGTGATCCGGCTTTTGTGCGCTCTGGAGAACATACAGGCGGAGCGCCGTCCTTTTTGAGTGAGTGTTGAAAATTGGACGAAACAATGGGTTCCAAAGACCAGCCTCAATTTTTTTGCAACACGGGAAGGTGTTGGTGAAATAGTTCCAAAGACTTGCCTCTCCTGGCTTTTTTCC